ACCGAACCGATATTGAACCGATATATTCGGTAACACTGAAACGCGAAACCGTAACCGAACCGATTAGAAGTCTGTTACCAAAAAAGAGTCCGGTTTTGGTTTTTACCGATAACAAACCGAAAACCAAACCCTGCTAACCAGTTTGCAATTGAACTGACATTTGAACGACTATCCTTTTTCTCTTAGAATGAGTTTGATTAACCTGAAAGTTATACTGTTTCTTTTCTGTCTTTAAAAAGACAGTTGTAATGATGTTTGGTAAGAAAAGTTGATTTGGTTTTGTTGGTTTTATAGATTTTATTAGCTAATATTGCTTGATGCCATGGAGTTGTTTTTACCTGTAATTGGTTGACTTGTTAAGTTCTTTACTGAATGTTGGAGGATTAAAACTTGTTCTGCTCTTTTGCTATGCAGAAAAAGCTATTGATGTAAAATGTAAAATTGATATTAATCTTGTTGGCTGGTTCATAAATGTGTATTGATGATAACTGCCAACTGTGCTAGCCATATGATTTTTATGCTCATTGTTGAATTTTGGGTGATGTAATCTATGAATTATCATGTAAAGTAGTAGACATATTGTATGGTGGGAATAATCTTAAGAAACAAAAGCCTTGAAATCGATGCTCAACTTTTATTGCTTTTATTTCTTAATTGGTAATTGTTACTCATGATAAAGAGAAACTGAAGTGGTGCATCAGGCCCTCTTTTGTTGACTCAGGTGTGGCTTGATAAATATATGCGTGAGATTAAGCGAACATACTGAAAGTTCATTGTGGATTCTTGAATAATGTTTTGTGTTCTTATTTAAAGTTGTGATCGTACAGTATGAGTAGCACCTTAAACATTCCCATATTGGCTACTGCATTATAAAGTTGATCTGCATGTGAAATATTCTCCACCTTTGATTGATTTGGCTGCTTATTCTTTCTTACACTTCAACTTTTCTATACTACGTCTTTTTATAAATACATGGATAAGTGTTATACTTATTTTATATTAATTTTTTTTTTCATTGCATATGTAAGAAAAGAAAATATTATAATCCAACCTTTTATGTTCATTGCATATGTAAGAAAAGAAAATATTATAATCTAACTTTTCTTCCTCTTCTTCTTCTTTTCATGACGGTTTTGCTCTTATAAATATAAGTGGATATATATTTATTTTTTCATGCATATATGCATAAAGACCTATGAGGTTATCAAGAAGTATAGGTTTTTCTTCTTCGTGCCCATTTTGAGATTGATGTTAGTTTCTGAATTACGAAAATTACTCTTCATAATAATTTATTAGATCAAGAAGATATGGATCGAAATTGGATGTCTACCAGTCAATTGTCAAAAGGATATGAGGACGGTGCGAAAGAATTTATGGTCTTTATGTTTTTACTAGCGTATTACGAGTTTTTCGGGCTCAAGTCGGGATGGTCTCCAAAAAATCAAAACACTTAAGATGAAAAAATATTAAGGTATTTCAACATGTTATTTGTTGTGGATGTTGATCTATATATGTACGCACTAACAAATACTTGTTTCTTTTAGTGTCCCGAACATGCTAACAATGTGGATTGTGGGTATCACGTTTTGAAATTTATTAAAGACATAATTATTTCTGATGAAATGATAATCCTAGATGAGGTAAATGAATTTAAGCTCATTTTCCTGTCATTCCAGTACCTACTTATTTTTTGATATTTTGGTTAGATATAATTAATAATGTTATATTTTGTACTACTTTTCTAGTTACAAATGCGTTCAATTATCTGAGGAGCAAGGAGCAAGTAGATGAAGTTCGGGAAGGATGGGCACAATATGTTATTCAGAGTTGTGTAAGATAAAAACTCTACTAGTGTCGATTCTTTTGTTGTTATTGTTCTATTAAATTTCAAATATGTTACGATATAATAAATAGACAGTGATTGAGATGTTTCTTTTCACTTTTGAATTCTGGCAGATACATGTGCATTTTTTTCCTACTTAACAGGTATGTATTTTGTTATACTCCTATTACATATTCTTTTATATCTTGTTTATAATATTGTGATGAATGACTTAAATTTGATATCAATATATGTATAATTTTGCGATGCAGGAGGTTGCAATAAAAAATTGTTTGGTCAGACAATTAGCAAATGGTGGTCAAATTTCTTACTAGGAATATTAGGCTTTTTTATTCATTTATTGGAATTGGAGATTCTTTCATGATTTTGTGCTACATTATTCTCTTGTAAATACATGAGCACAATGTTAAAATTGGTGGATTGTGTTAGTAAGTTTTTGTTATATTATTTTTGTGTTGTTTTCTTGTTGGTTCTTGCTTCTTGGTATATGGGGTTATGATTTAAGTTATCTTGTTCTTGTTTATTTGTTTATTGGTATAGGTATTTAATGGATATAGGGACAAAATATAATATATATATATGTGTGTGTGTGTGTGTGTGTGTGTGTGTGTACAGATAACGCTTGTTTATTAAAATGTTATGTATTATCATTATCTCAGATATCACTTTTGTTAAAAAATGTTATCTGATTAATATTATAGATAACACTTAGCTTAAAAAGTGTTATGTGAACGGTTCTTCACATAACGCTTAGCGTAAAAAAGCGTTATGTGAAGGGCTTTTCACATAACACTTAGTATAAAAAAGTGTTATGTGTAATGTTCTTCACATAACGCTTTTTAAGCGTTATCTGAAGAATCGGTCTTCAGATAACACTGATTCCGATAACGCTTAAAAGCATTATCTGAAGCAAAAAAAAAGCGCTATCTGAAGCCTTTTTTGGTGTAGTGATAACTCGAGAGGATGTCGGTGTCACTACCGAGACCAAGATCCAAGACTCTGCACGAAAAACTCGGAATTATAAATGAGCATTACGAGGGAGTGTTAAAAATTAATTCTCATTTTCTAGAAACTATATTAATACACATTAATTAAAATTAGATTTAGTTGTTAGAGAGTAGTTAGTTGTTAGTAGTTAAAGAATTAATGTCACATAAGCTATATATATATATATATATATGTGTGTGTGTGTGTGTGTGTGTGTGTATGTGTGTGTGTGTGTGTCATGCGTGCAGTGTGATAAAAACAAGAAAAAGAGAAGAGTGAGTTGTGTGTGGTGTGAGTGATCAGAATAATTAAAAAAAGAGAAAGAGTGAGTTTGTGCAATAAAATATTAAGTGTGTGCTTGAGTGTTGTGAGTGATTAATAATAAAATAGTGAGTGAGGTATTGTATGTGTTGTACATAAGTGAGAGAAGTGATTTGATAGAGTGAATTTCCTTGAATGCTATTGTAAGTTGAGTGATATATTTGTAATAATAAAATTAATTTGTTGCGTTAGTCTTGAATTTATTGACCCATTTATTTCCAACAGACCTTTGATAGGGGCTGATTCTGTTGATGCCCTAAGGTTCCATGTTATATTTCATAGGTAATATGGATCTTGTAATCTCTTGGTTACTCGGTTATACATTGGTTTGAGTTTTAATTTTAGTTATTATCGTCCGGAAACAAAGTTATGCCATTCACAAAAAATTGTTGCATGCCATTATTGTTATTTGATTTTTTTTTTTAATTGCAGCTTTATTTATTCTGTAACAATAATAACCATTTGGTATTTTTATGAAATATTACTAACATAAGACATCAATGTGAAAAACAAAATACATGTGGATTAAATGATACACTGAAATTTGTGGATGCTTATTCCTTATATTTTAACAAGAACTACAAATTCATTTAGAAATATTTTGCTAACCCTCTACGTCTTGCTTATATGTTCATAGAGAGATCGAATTCAAGGTACCATTAAACAAAAAGATCGAGATGTCAAAAAGAATCTTGTGGAGAAAAAAAATTACCCTATCAATGGAAAAACTCTATTATGTGATATCAGACGCATAAGCAGTGATCTTCTTTTAAAACTATTAGTTTGTGAATACTACTGTGACCGGTCGTACCATCAATCTATTTATACCGAAATTTTTTATAATATAGAAATAAATTTCATTTTCAGAAACATAAATTTCCATTAATTAATAACATACTAATATAATTTTTATTGAACCATATTTTCCGAGCGTCACACAAGTTTAACACTAGTAGAACTACACATGGCCAAGGGCGCCCGCCGATTCGGCACGGACCCGGCCCGGATTTGGCACGAACTCAGCCCGGATTAACCCGTTGACCACGGGTCTGGGCCCGGATCGGATTTGCCAAGGGTCGTGTCAGAGTCATCCATTTCATGACCCACACAGCGGGCTCGGGCCGGGCCGGGTCGATGACCTGCTTTTTTGTTTGGTTTGTTAATTTTTCCTATTGTTTTTTTTAAAAAAAAAATGACGTACCTGGCCCGGATACGAGCCGGACCGACCCGGTCAACCGCGTCATTGACCCGACACGAGTATAGGTCTGTGTCGGGTCCGGGTCATTGTTTTCGAGCCCGACAACCCAGGGGCTGGGCCGGGTCGTGACTCGGCCCGGGTTTTGGCCCTGTCTAAGTAGAACGAAATAAGAAAAACTTGGAAATGATACAAAAAAAAGGAGGAAGTAATTTTCAATGCTCTATAGTTTATGTGACATATAAAGTTAATTAATATATGACCGACAAGTTTTATTCAGTATATTTTAGTAAAATAAATAATTTATTTTCAATAATACAGCTTCTCATAGAAAATGACAAAATGTAATTAAAGCTCAGAGTACTATTGGCTGTTAGTTGAGAGTTAGCCTACACAGGTGTAACACAACCTCAACAACTCATTGGCTGGCCAGGCCAGGCCAGGCCAGGCTGCAAAATTTGGCGAAAAAAAAAAAAAAAAANGGCGAAAAAAAAAAAAAGTAAAAAAAAGAAACAAAAACAGAGCATGATTGAGAATGATGAGGCAAAAGGGCTTTTGATGATTGGAAAAATTCCCAATTTTCCATGAAGAAGAGAAAGAAACCAACATCAGATCAACGTTAAAGACACAGAGATTGTGCACTATAATACTCTCATGGCGTTCTCTAATGACAATCTCAAAGGGTTTACCTTGGCTCTCATTTCAAGTGGGTTTATTGGGGCGAGCTTCATTATCAAGAAGAAAGGCCTCCGGCGAGCTGCTGCCGCCTCCGGTGTTAGGGCCGGTCAGAATCTTTACATGCTTTTTTGAATTCTGTCAAAATTCGTATGCATTTTACTATTGTTATTATTATATGTTAATCAGATTTAATAAAACTTATGCATATGTATGATCGAAGAGTTTTGTTGGATCGACTTTTTAGGTGTTGGTGGGTATGCATATCTGATGGAGCCCTTGTGGTGGCTTGGGATGATCACCAGTGTGTAATTTTATTCCCCTTTCTTCTTTTTTGTATAAGTTTTTGGTTATTATCTAGCACTTCTTATCAAGATTGTTTTTGTTCTTAAGTATTCAATTTGGCAGTTAATGGCATTTGATTTGGTCCTGTTGAACAACTTGTGTTATGTACTGGGGAAATTGTGGCACTAGCTAGATAGTATGTTATCGATCATTCGTTACGGATGCTGGACTCTGCACCTGAATACACATAAGTGCACGTTCAAGTATAAAACGCGCATATATCCATGTGGGTTGCGTGTGTATATACGTCATAAGGGCCAAGCTTGATGAACACCCCCTCAAGAATAGAGTTTTAGGAGGCCCTAATATTATGCAGTTAACAATTCGTTATTTGGTAAAATGATTTTAAAAGCTATCTCAACACTCATCTTTTTGGAATTCGTTTCGTTAATTTGTTGGACGATCGCATAAAGTTGCATAAAATGACATATACAATTTATGATTTTCAATTGTATCTGTATATTTTTATTTTATTTTATTTTATTTTTGTTTTTGTACCTATGAATGATTTCGAACAAACTCAGAATTTTCCACTCTAATTACATGCTGAAGCTTATTGCCATCTTCTATGCAGTGATCATTGGAGAAGTTGCAAACTTTGTGGCATATGCATTTGCCCCAGCAGTACTCGTCACACCTCTTGGCGCCTTGAGTATTATTGTCAGGTAATTAATTTTCAGTGTATAATTTTATACTTTCTTCTATTCGTGCTCTAATAAGTAACATGGTATTCTGTAGCGCTGTATTGGCACACTTTATCTTAAATGAGAAGCTGCATCCACTCGGGATGTTGGGATGTGTAATGTGCATTGCTGGTTCAATCATAATTGTAATACACGCACCACAAGAGCAGCCAATCTCGTCTGTACAGGAAATATGGACTATGGCAACACAACCGCGTAAATAAATTTCATCATATTTTGTCTTCCCAGAGCTGAATTTTTTACTTTCTTCAATGTTTTCTGTCTAATGCGATTCTTTTGTGCTAAATTTCAGCCTTTCTTCTCTATGTGGGCTCTGTAGTGATTTTGGTGTTCATTCTTATTATTCATTTTGCGCCACAGTATGGGCACACCAACGTGCTTGTATTCACCGGCATTTGTTCACTGATGGGTTCTCTCTCGGTAAATTCCAATTTGCTTATAATATGAGTTCACAAATCTTTCTAGCTTCTGTAGAACATACCTTAAATATTTAACATTTACAATCTCCCAAATAGCTGAAAAGCTTTCCTATCATAATGTTGGTTGAACTTTTTACTCGAATTTTGTTAGAATTTATGGCCAAAAAAAACCAATGCTCAACTTGCTTATGTATCGCTATTAAATTTGTCATCTCGATTGCCCGCAATAATAATTTTCCTGAAAAAGTTGTTTGATGTTCTGATGGTGTGAGTTTTACTTGAATAGGACGGATCCTTTATTACTTTAATATTTTTAATTAACCAACTCAGATATAAACTAGTTGATGATTATTGAATCACGCGTTAATTGCCTTGCAATATGAGCACTTTGTCTGTTTTGCAGGTTATGAGTGTTAAAGCCCTCGGAACTTCTCTCAAATTGACCTTTGAGGGGAATAACCAATTAATCTACCCAGAGACCTGGTTTTTTATGCTTGTTGTGGCGACTTGTGTTATTATGCAAATGAATTACCTAAACAAGGTTAGTAGAAATTTTAGACTACTGATTTACCATGATAGACTTAATTATCTTTCAGTTTGTTGTAGAATCTAATACTAAAAGACTCTCCTTGCATCACAACCCAAAGATGAAATTTTGAAACAACACATTGTGCAACTTCTGAGTTTTTTTTTTTTCATCGATTATATTATCAAAATTTACTTTTTTTTTGGGCCAGAGAATGGTTGTCGACTATTTCATTTGCCTTTTTGACAACTAAGTTACATGTCCATTTATTACAGGCACTCGACACGTTCAACACGGCAATTGTTTCCCCTATATACTATGTCCTGTTCACATCACTCACAATACTTGCCAGTGTTATCATGTTTAAGGTAACATACTTTTAAACTGACATTTCGCAACAGTGCTTGTTGAACTAAAACTAATTACTCTCAGATAGCACTACACAATCTCAAACCTCAATAGTAAATTTCCTTATCTTTCGTATCGATAATTTTCATTTAACCTAATAATTAAAGTGCGATGGCTTTTATTTTTGGTGCTAAAAGCAGTTAATTTATATAGGATTGGGAGGGCCAAAATGCCGGTAGCATTATGTCAGAAATATGTGCCTTTATTGTAGTGCTTTCTGGGACGATCTTGTTGCACTCGACCAAAGATTTTGAGAGGAGTTCCTCTTTTAGAGGTCAGTTCTAGTTTGCAATATGTCTGAACCATCTCTCACACTTATGTTTTTTTATTTTTATAATTGAAAATGCTGGTTTTGAAATTTAGGTAATTATACCCCATTATCCCCTACATTATCGAGCCGGTTATGTAGCGGTAATGGGGATTTGGATGAGCATGGCGAACAAAACGAGCCATGAACCTTTCGGGGCTCAAAGAAGTCGATAAAAACTCTAACAACGGATGGCTATCCATGATGGAAAATTACCTACTTTTTGAAACGACGAGGCCAATGTGAACACCGAAAGAATACTCGACCTTGATTCGTGGCTCCACAAAGCATATAGTTTGTATCTGCTTGTATTCATGAATGTTATGTTCATACCATACATCTCAGCTTAAGTTCTTACGCGTGATCAATCATCAAAACTTCGCCTTTCTTACAAGATGGTGATGATGATCATGAGACGAGGATTTGGAAAAGAAGGCTTGCAGCTCGAGCTTATTAATGTAAAGTTCAATTTTTTTCTTTTTTCCCATTTCTGTCGTGGATTTTTATGTTGCGTAGCTGCAAGAAAGACTTTCTCATAGGTTATTTTTTGGTGTAGTGAGTGTTGTGGTGATTCTTTCCTTAAAATTTGCAGGATTTTAAGGTTCCATTTTTCCTATTTTTATCAGAATGGATGAGATAAATTGGTTTTGTATAACTAGAAGTCATCATCTTCTTATCTGTATAGTTTCATGTCTTCCTTTTTCATCTTCTTATCTGTTGGTTTCATGTAAATAATATATAAAAAAAACAAATCAATATCTATTTCTAGACTTAAGCTTGCTTCGACGTGCAATGTATTGTCGTAAGGTTTATTCAATATACTGTATATCCCAGACCCGTTAAGAAACTAACTTTTCACATCAATTTATCCACCCCAGTTTCATCCCCTGCTTCTCTTTCCTTCTGCAAAATGACCTACAAAGGAAGCACAATTTCACAATTTATAATCAAGAGAAACAATTAAATAAAGATTTAATGTCGCACGACTAGCAAGTCGAGTATATATATAATACTTCGTTATTTGGAACTCCATGGCACCCTCTGCGGCGCGTCTAAGAAGCTTTTCCCTTGCCTCAACTGCGATTCCTTCTGGCTGCAATTGTGTAAACGAAGTTACGAGCTGAATATTTTCTATTCGGCATATTAATTTATGTATGTTCACGTAATATAAAATTTAATACCTCTTCAGGATACCAAACTCCAGGCTTTGTGCTTCCCTCAAGAACAGCTAGAGCAAATGCAGCAGTTGCAGTCCCAGCAGCTCTATAAACACATCATTTTTTTTAACAAGGTATTATTATTTATCTTTTTTTTTTTAATCAATTTACTTAAATCTTGGATGAGCTTTGCTTAACTAATTGTTCCTAGTCATTGCGGCCGAAAATTGTTATGAACTCAATAAACACTTACTCGGCTAGTCTTTGGTGGCTGAAAATTGCCGAAGTATTATATCCATCCGAACACTCTAAATCGACCTAAGAGATAAAAAATAAGGCAAGGCCATATTATAACATTCTTCATTAGTATGGATTAATTCAGAAACTATAATGCACGCTTCAGTTGCAAAAACTTACTCTGATTGCAGCTTTCTCCCCAGATATTACATCCACCGCACGAATAAATGGGTATGAAAATTTCGACAAGAATTGAACTATGCGCCTGTCCTTCAAAATCTCCTTCAGATTGAGACCAAAGAGAGCAACAAGTCGTAAGTAAAACCTTTTTTCTCTATTCGGCACAATGTGTTTTGCAGGATTGAGTTTATAAGACGTGCATGATTATTATAAATATCATTATTATCAGTGTAAGCGTGTGATTAATTTGCAGATGGCTTACAACAGGCAAGAGTTTAATGACGGCCAAAAGTGTCCAGTTCCAAAAGAAAGGCGCTGTCCCGAACCGTGCATCGATTGTTGGTACTCCAAATACCCTACGTGCGCTAGCCACTTCCGGCACATTCCTGCTAAAACATTTTCTTGTTCATATTTTTTCCTTTGACATATATATAGGTTTGTGTTGAAAGGTGAAAAGGTGTACAGAGAATGATATATACAATAAAAAAACATCTCTTTCGCCAATCCCTTCTCCGAAGCTAACACTACGCTTATCGCTGTACGCCTTCAATTTCTTTTCCTCTCCTGAAAACAAAAAGAACATAGAAAAATGGGTCAACATTAAAGAGAATGCTAGAATTCGAAATCCATTGTATAGTCCAAAGTTGTTATATATTAGGAGAACCTTGATGGTACGTCACAGCCTCATCTGCAAGAAGATAGAATGTAGTCGACAGCACCCCGGGACCCGTTCCCCCGCTGCCACTAGTGAAATAGTTGTACCTTTGGGTGCAACATTATATTGCATGTGTCGTAAAAACACAAGTACAAATTAACCAAAAGGAAAGGAGAATGTATATATAGGGTGGAGCCAAAAATATTTAGTGGTTTGACGACGAACATATATACCTCAACTTCTGGGGTTGGCCTCGGTTTTCGGTTTGTGCGTCGTGGATAAGGGTTGCGGCCATCACTGTAAAAAAATGTTAATAACTATTAGATGATAAATTGCATTTTAGTTCACATTCTTTGTAAAACACGCTTTCAGTTTTCAGCACTTTTAGTCTCGAGTATAAATAGTCATTAGGGTTTGATGTATTAGGTCAATTTTCATTTTCTCTTCTTGAACACCGCAGACATCTTTCTCTCTCTGTATTCCTTCTTCTCTCTCTCTAAACTTTCCTCTCGATCTGTAAATCTTTCATCTGATTAATGGAGTTATCGATGTATTGTTCATATTTTTGTTGATTTCTATCGTAATAATAACCGGTAAATAGTTAAAAGTCTATATAAAAAGAAACAAAAAATGGAGTAGAATGTAATTAATTAATGAAGTTTACAGTTGCTAACGCCGGGATTTGCTCCGGCATTTGTGATGGCCGGAACTCCGGCGGCTATTGCCTTGTTCATGTACGATTTTGCACGTCGTGAGTATCCTTCGTGGTCGGATATGTCTACATATGCTGTCTGTGGTTTACATATCAAACAAATTATATAAATAAATCGCTCCAAAATTTTTTATTCTAAATAAAGGTATTCATATAAAATTTGAATTTTTATTTTATTTTATATTATTATTATTATTATTATTATTTTTTTTTGGTGACCTTTGACTCGATAGCAGCCTCCAAGACTTTGGTGTCAGCATATTCATAAGGACCAG